CTTTTTCACATTGCAATGAATTGTCTGTTCTATGCTTAAGTCTACAATAATGACCGAAAAACGATAAAGTACTTTGGAATTACAGTGCAGCTATCATTTGTTACTTCTGACCCCGATGGTCTTTCAAAGCTTTTTATATAACATTTGTTATACAATTACCTTATTGTTTCCCCTTGAAAAAAGATGGTCTTTCAAAGCTTTTTATATAACATTTGTTATACAATTACCTTATTGTTTCCCCTTGAAAAAAGATGGTCTTTCAAAGCTTTTTATATAACATTTGTTATACAATTACCTTATTGTTTCCCCTTGAAAAAAGATACAGTTTTTCCTCAAACAAATCTCAATCCTTCCCAAATGCCCTGTCCCAGTTTACTGAAGTGTTGCCCATTAATGGTTAGAGCGTTCGCTCTAGAGTAGTTTTTCCTTATTTCGCGTGTTCGAATCCCAATGTGGGACGTGGAGACCGGTCCTTCGGATGAGACCGTATAAACCAAAGTCCCGTGTCGCAGTAGCTGCTGGCACGAAAAAGATCCCCCAGTGCTCAAAGGCCCTGAGTGCCGCTCTCCACCGGCAGGTGATGGCGTCTCCATATGAGTGAACAATTTTCTAAGGTCTCATCCTATAGAATTCTGACTTTTCCCAAATCCTATTTCTATGCCATAATAATTATCGTTCCTTATTAAAAAAAAAACACGATATCATACATCGAAAAACATACCTCCTTTTTCGTACATGTATATGTAAGTGACCGAAAGAATAATGGAGTCAGGAGTTGAAAAGATAATTTCAATTATATGTATATGTTTTTATATATTTCCTTGACTAACACTGTAAGATAAGCAGTTAAGTGCAATATTGTTAACATTTACACCCTGCAGCAACTGAGTACAAAATGTGCAAGATAGGTATACTATAAACTAGAACACTGTTCTGTTCCGAAACTTTCAATTATATCTAGTAAGTCTTATATGGAAATAGCCCGTTGAGGCCAGTTCAGAGGAAGAAGTACATGTATTTTTGATTGCATTTATACGAAATAATTATTGCGTTTCAACACAACAGATTGTGTTAAATTGCAATAATTATCGCTTTTAAAAGCATAATATTGCGATTAACCGTAATATTCAATAATTTAAACAATTTTATTGAAGAATTCATTAGGATTGGGAAACAGGCAAAGCCTATGCATATCTTTTCCTTGTTTAATAAGTCAAGATAAAGACAATAAGTATCAATAATACTTGTATACTTTATAAAAAAAATGCTGATAATCAAAAATAAAAATTCACAATCAAGTATTATTCATCAGTATTGCATAAAAAAGTTGATGACCCCCTAATTATATATAATTAATTTACTTATTGTTCAATATATTGTATATATAACATTGTTTAATATAAATATTGTAAAATTGTATTTTTACTGAGTATTTAATATTACAGTATACTTAATTTAGTCTCTTATAGATTTAATAAATTCATGTACATATGAAAATATTTTATAGTTTGTTTGATAGAAATATTGACATTTTCCTCTAAACAGAGGGTCGAGTTCAAAAAACAACATTAATATCATTTAATTTTATTTTACAAGTAAATTTCTTTCAACAGTATTTGATGGACATTTGATTGTGTAATGTCTAGTATCCTCAGTTTAAAATCCACATTTTTGACATGATTGAACATCTGATCAAAAATGATTTTTGAAATGTGCATTTAGATTGCTAGCATTGTTTTGCAACTGACAATGTAAGATATTCTCTTTTCTATTACCATAGTTAAAGTACCTACATGGTTTATTGGCTGCTCCTCAACTTTTAAGTTTTGCTTAAAAGATATATAATAAAAGAGAGTTTTTGACATCCTCACTAAGTTCCAAAGTTTTATAGCCGAGGGAATAAAACTATTATAGTAAGGCATTGTTTTACAGATTGGCATACACAAGATTCTAGATCCAGACCTTGGGTTGTATGCATGTTGAACTGGAAAAAGGGTTGAATAAATTTATACAAATAATCAGGTAATTATTTTATACAATCAATTAAAGTTTGTGTTTTTCTCTTCTAGGATATAATGGTTCCCATCCAAGTTAACCATACAAAGTAGATCTGGAAGAATTAACTCTAAGCCAAGTAATAATTCTGGCAACTTCTATCTGAACTTTTTATGCAATTCTGCTTTACTTTAGGTACAATTATCCCACACAATGTCTGCATATTCTATAATCAGTCTTATGAAAGCAATATGAATTTTTATAAGTGAATTTGTATCGATACAATGTTTCACTAACCTTATATTCAATATTTTACATGCCTTTTCGTTTATACTTGATAACTGATTATTCCAAGAACCATCTTCCTGAAATTGTATTCCTAGGTGTACATGTGTTTTTGATTGTTTTATATAATCATCTCTGTATCCAAATTGAATGCCATGATAATTTTTGTGTTCCCTTGTAAAATCAACAATATTCATTATGTTAAAGCGCAAAATATTTTGCGTTTAAACGCAAAAGGTTTCTTTAAAAGGCAAAAGTTTTCGTTTCAACAGCAGTTTGTGCTTTAATGCAAAAACTATTGCCATGAATGAAATATGTGGAGATAACGAACAGTATTGAGCTTAAAAATCCGTTAAACATTACAAAATAGGAGCAGAGAAAACACGGACCTCTAAGACATCAGATATGGGATCAGGTGCCATTAAGGAGTGAGTATCCCCTGCCAACCGGTCACACCTGCCGTGTGCTCCTTGCATGATCGGGAAATAACGGAGAAATCCGTCGACAATTCAGTGTGTAAATAATGGCCTAACAATTAGTATGTTTAAAGTCAGTCAGCATTTGTCTTAATGATAGATTGTATTTGCTGACAAGGTCATTGTACCGACCATAGAACTTACAAAATGATGACTTTAAACGAGACTGTTGATATTTTTGTTTCATCAACTTGTTTGTCAATAATTTACCTCGTCTTAGAAATTGTTTACGTAGAGCATGCTCTGGCGTATCGGATCAACTGAGAGATATAAACCGCGTATGCAGGAGATAAGGGTGCAATAATTCATTGCGTATAAACGCAATAATATCTTTGCATTAAAACGTAATTTACTCTTGCGTTTTAACGAATTTTTTAAAGTTTACTCGCAATAGTTTTGCTTTATAACACCAAAATCATTGTAATGAAACGTTATCACATTTGCATCTAAATGCAATATTTTTTGGGTAATACGTGCATTAATTTTAAGTATTATACCATCGGGATAAAAAGGAGTCATGCAAAAATGATTTGTTTTTATTTCTCACTCGTATAACTTTTCAAGAAATTGCATGTTGCTTACTGCACATCATCAGATACTTCTGAGCAAAATTTCTCGGAGAAGATGGCTCTCTTACTGTGAATTTATACAAGAGAAAAAAACTAAGGTTGTAAACAATGAAGCTTCTGATAAATGCTTACATATTATATACCATGTTTTCTTCTTGTTATATTCTTTTATTTGAAATTATTTTTACGCACTAATCAAATAGAATTAAACTACAAAAAACAAATTAAGAAATAAAATGGTTTAAAACTAGTTATCCCCTTCCTTGTGGTCACCAAGTTTAAGCCATGTATAAAGGGGTTCAGAAAACGACTAATGAAATGTTGGAATTTAATACCAGATGATGAAGCCTTAAGACATATTCAGAACCCTCCCTATAACTGTAAACAGTTAATATAAGAACATAGATATAGAATCATAAGATCAAAATTAAAATCAAATACAAACTTCAAAGAAATTGATTGCTGTGTGCATAGGTGGCCCCTGATGAGGCAGACCTTCCTACGTACTACTAACATGACTTTTGCTATTATACAACTCAATCATTTTTGTAGTCAATTGATCAAATGCTTCATTCAGAGTGTTGGGTTCTTTTAAGTGTTAAACATGTCCGGTTGAAGATGTCATTCTTTTACTCCAATTTTACTTAACACTGGAAAATTTTGCAAAGTAGAGAGAATTACAAGATCATTAATCATTGAACCAATATTGGCATTCATTAAATATAAAAACATACGAAAAATAAATCAGTCACGCTTACAATATCATCAGATTTATAAGGTAGACTCCAAATGTAGTGTCCATAAGCTTTAAAAAACCACTGAAACACTCTACGCTTCCATAATAAAACAATATATTAAATAACTAAAAAAAAGTCTAATTTGTCTAATCCTAGTAAATTATAAAATTTCATAACTACAAAATTATTGAGTTTAAACAGTATAATTATTGCCTGTAAACGCAACAATATTATTGCCTTTAATCGTTAACTTTTGCGTTCATACACAATGAATAATGCAATTAAACGCAATCTTTTGCGTTTGAATGGAATGATAATTGCGATAAAGGCAATCTGTTGCGTTTAAAAGTAATAATTATCGTTGTTATACATTTTTTAAAAAAGATTTTCTCAACCGCCTTTCATTTTTTTTTTTAAATTATGAAGTATTAATTTCAGATCCACGATTTATTGTTAAAAGTGGCCTGATTAAATTTTTTTTAAAGCTATCATCATTCAGAAGAGATAAATATTTGAAACCCGTCATATGCAGCGCAGGAAGAGCTGAAAAATCCTGTATAATTTAGAATGTCTTAGTTTTATGGACATGAATTCTTTATGTTATGTCTTGCCCTAAGAATTGAGAAAGATTGAATCTTTCTAATGTGTCTAAATTTCATATGAAGAGAAACTCGGATATTTATTTGAATCATACAAATTAATCACACAACACAAAACATTCAAACACTTACAAAAGCTCTAGGAGTGTAGAAGTTTATCAAAATTGTTGTATTTTGTAAGCAATTTAGGTTACCGTCATGTTTATTTTTAAACAAAAGAACTATACGACAGATAATATATGTCCTGGCACGTTGACGTAATCATCTTAATGATTTATATGATGAATAACTAAACAAAGAATGTAACGTGGCCATACTTAAACGTGTGTCTCTCTCGTTTTTCTTACACAGAGATAAAGTTTATCACAATGAACCATTTTATTTGTTTAGAAGTTTTTGCACTCATTTTCCTTCTCAGAGGAACTGCTTCCGAACTAACAAGTCCTGATGTTAGTAATTCAACTAAGAATAACACAAAGGATTCTCCAAAAGGTCAGTTATTGTTCCTAAATACGTCAGAGTCTTGTTTTTTTTAAAAAAAGGAGTAAATTATATTATTTGATGGTACCTGTTGAAAGATAAAATCATTAAGAATAATAACTTAACATGTATTTTTGAATATTATTTCCATTTTTTAATATCTCATAAAAATTACAACAGGCAATTTTAGATATGTGTATTCATTTCGTTTTTTTTCCTTTTTGTTTGAACAGTTTTTTCGGACAGAGCTGACAGTGTATTTTTCATTGACAAACCTGTCTTACGGAAACCAGTCCGCATGCGCAGGATTAAGCTCATACCCCCCAGAGCTAGGTGAAGGCTTAGAACATGACTACATGAGAATCACATTTCCTTGTTCAAGATTGATTGTGGTTAAATTAAAAAAATACATGTACATATTTAATTTTACTTTTATCAAGCTTAAGAATGTATGAATTTTTTTTTTAATCTGATTCGATATTAAGTTGTAAATTGTCAATAACTTATATAACACATGTATATGTCTACTTTATGCATGAAAATAATAGCAATCAAATGATTAAATCTTCCTTATGGTGTATATTTGTTTTGTATGTACGATGATGTTTGTGTGTGATGGAGGTTGCGTGTTTGCGCGCGCGCGCGCGAGAAAGAGAGAGAGAGAGCAAACATTTTATCAAAATCATTGCTTAAAAATCCTTACCTTTAATATAACTGACTGTAAAATTTTATTGCAAACATCCAGTATTTCTTCTTAATTGATGACGGATTGCTTTTAATATGTTTTATAGTCCAAATCATGTGAAGAAATAAAAAAGTTTTTTTTAACTTCTACTTTAGATCACCACGTTTTTCCCGATACTTAATTTTCGCGAGATAGGCGTTTGATACTTATAAATCTTTAATTACGAATTCTGATTACTGTTTTGCATTATTTTTTATTCATAAAAAATATCAATATATTACGTCATAACCAATATTATGTTCTTTTAACTTACTAACTCATCACCATATTCACATTAGATAATTAAAAATAGGATACTATGTATACAACTTTATGAAATAAATTATCAATATATCAATTCTTCATGAATCTATTTAAAAAGAACTAAGGTTAAGCAAAATTAGACAATGCATACTTTCTAATTTGGGCCAATGTTATATATGCTTTCTGTTTCAATGACAGAAAAAAAGAATGTTCATAAACTCCAGTTGTTCAGATTTGCAATAGAAGAACTGTTTATAAGCTTTGATTTAAGCAAAATTACATTATTGTCGTCCTTTACAATATTGATTTCTTATATAATACTATGTATTTGATTGTACAGAATCCTTTATTCCGAAACAATTTGATACTTTATTTCTGTCTCTTAGATCAAAAAGGTTTAAATTACATAAAATTTATCAGCAAACAAAAATCCAGCCAGGCTGGAACCACAATAGGACATTGAAAATAAACATAGGAATATGTAAGAAACAATTTTTTTAATTGTCTAAAAATAAAAAAAAAAATAATCATTTATTAGTCATATTAATATGCAAACATTCTCATGTAGTGTATGCGTTTAGTTAGAAGTGGCTAAATAGGAGATGAATGTTTTACTTCGGTATGTACATAAACATGTAGAAAAGTATTTTAACAAGTGGAAAGCTGTCAATGTGACACCAAACAGGGTTTGCTTTGTGTGAACAGAACTGCTATTTCTCTAGAAAATTATAAACCTGTTATAAATTCCACACTTTTTATACCAATGAACTTGAACTTGCTGAAATGATATGGTCAAGGTCATGAGACATCCTTATGTAATTACCAATCTCTGTTCCAAGTATGATCTTCCGATGATTCTCCACTTCAAAGTTCCAGCCAGGAATTTTTTTTTATACTTTTCTGCCAGTGACCTTGAATAATTACATAAAATATTCAAAGTATATTTATTTATATGTCTTATATATTAAGGTGGAAGGGATTTGAAAGGTCATCTCTTTCTTTCCTTCTCATAATTGTATAATTTTAAATAGAAATGGTAAACTAAGATGGAAATCTAACAGGGGCTATGTTTTTGGCGGAGCAACGGCTTATGAAAATATCTCCTTTTCAACTTTTCTGTTTCTCGAAATTACTACAGAATAATGATTTTAATTAAAATCAAAGACTTATAAAAATTTTCTATTGTAACTAAAATTAATAATAATGGAATAGAATTTCAATATATATCAAATAGATATAATTTTCCAAGCAAAGTACAATCCTGTTAGCTTTTGAAAGCTTTCAGTCTAAGTACGGTTTGAGCAGAAAAAAATCAGTAAAAAGTGTTTTTTCTGTCTAAGTAAACGGTCAAAACTTTTTGTTTTTGTATCCTTTTGTATCTTTATATAACTACTTTACCATTTGTGAAAATAAGAAAAAAATTAAATATAAGAAGCATATAATAATAACTCATATTCCCTAAAAATTTGGAGAAAAATAGAGGAAATTCGGATTTGTCAATATCTATTTCAGTTATATTAGTTATGTCAATTTGGTAGTATCATCTGATAAACCTTATATGGTAATATTTTTATGCAGAAAGAAAAACATTTTATCTTTTGAAATAGAAGTAGGCACCACATGAATGGCATCAGTAATATTTATTCTTAATGTCAAGGAAAACGATAATGACCTTGACCTTACCTGCTTCTAAAATAAAACGGTCAAATTTAATCTAATTGATACCATTACTTAGTGATATTGTCTTCTTGAAAATTTCGATAATTCTTAAATATAAGAAATATGAGAAGAATCCCTCCTTATAACTATTAAGGCACTTTTTAGTTTATTTAATAAAAAAGTCTTGCATAATTCACTTCTTCTATTAACTTTCAAATACATATTTTACAGTGTTTTATTATCAAAAGTGAATGGTAAATGGGAATAACTCAATAGAATACTAATTAATAGAGCCCTGGCTAGAACCAAAACACTTGACCAAATGGTCCAGATGTTCAAAAATCTGGTAAAAATATTCTTGCTTATTAAAACTTTTACACTGCATGCCTCCGATATTCCCAGGAGCAGAGAAGATTAATGCATTTTCACTACAGATTCACACAGCCTTGCCCTACCACCATAATCCATGACCAAGGGTCATGAAATTGTTAAATTTGGAAGAGGTACCCTCATCATCATAACTATGCATTTAGTTGAAGATTTTTAAAGAACTAATTTTCACTATATCATTAATAAACACCCCTCCTCGACCCCCCCACCCCCCACCCACCCTCGAAAAACTCTAGAACCCCTGACCCTAGGACCACAAGTTTTTAAATGTTGTTAGAAGCACCCTTGCACATCATAACTAAGAACTTTGTTTATCTGCTAAACACGAAGGAGCAGACAGGGTTATTTAATAGAATTAATGCATTTTCACTCTATTATCAATATAGCCCCACCCATACACCTGAACATCTGACCCAGGGGCCATGAAACTCACAATTCTGGAAGAAGCACTCTTGCTCATCATAACTATCCACTTAGTTTCTTAGCTTTATAACCAGGAAAAGAAAAGAATATTTTTCAAAGAAATTATGCTGTTTCACTATCTAATCAATAGACCCCCCCCCCTTTCACCACAACCCCCGAGCCTGAGACCATGGATTTCAAAATTTTGGAAGAGACATCCCTGCTTATTTTAAGAAAAATACAATTAGTTTGTTTAACGAGGCCTAGTCTAATTCTAGTGCGTATGACTTTGCGCAGCTTATCAATTTCATGCAGTCGTAAGTATGGCATTATACTTTCCCTTGTTTTTGTGATTTTAATACAAAATTATCAGTATTTATAACGTCTATGGGTATGAAAATGTGTTTTCAAGACAATGATTAGGAATAAACGCTGAAATAGCTCAAACGACATCACAGCTATCTGGTTTTGTAAGCAATGCATGACGCTGAAGAATGACACATGACTCTCTTGAGTAATCATGAAGTCTATGGACATTTTACTTCAAACTGTTGACAGAACATTAAAAGAAACATACCAGCAATCCAAATATAGTTATTTTTTAAATCAAAATAATTCATCTGCGCCGTCATATACACATGTGTATCGCAATATGGCATATTTAGAGGTATTGGGCATTGAAAAAAATTAAACTTTGTAATAATTCCTAGACCAACCTGGAGGGTCAACTTTTTTGAAATTTCACAATTTGGTGACTTTTACCAATAACTTTCATATATTTGACTGAAAAAGAAATCCCTAGGGCAGAAATACAAAAAAAAAAATGGGGAAAATGTGATAATTTGGCGCTTTTCCAACAAATTCCCATGGGGTCCAATAGTAAAATTTGACAACTTTTGAGATGTCCCCACTAAGAAATCGGGATGGTAAACATTCGATTATTTTATCTTAAAACAATTAATATGGTATTAAAAATTCATACAAGAAAATTTATCAAAATATTAAGGGTAGAAATAATTAGACTCGGCCTCGTTAAATTATACCCAGGAACTGCATGAACTGAGAAGACTTTCAAAGAATTAATGCATTTTTGCTACATAATCAATAGAGCCCTGCCTTAACACGATAACCCCTGACCCCAGGGACATGAAATTCGCAATTTTGGAAGAGGTACCCTTGCTCATCGTAGCTATATACTTAGAAAATCTGTTTAATACCCAGAAGCAGAGAAGATGATTTTCAAAGAAATAATGCACTTTCAATATATGACCTATATAGCTCCGCCCTAGCACCAGAGTCCCTGATCTAGGAGCCACGAATTTCATAATTTAGTAGAGGACTTAATGCTTATTACAAACATGACAACAGTTTAACTGCTTGATGTCAAGGAGTAAAGAAGAAGATTTTTAGAGATGGCACTAATTTTGATGGCTTTAGCTCCACCCCTAAGGCCCCAGGGGTTAAGGAACCATGGAATTTTGTTCCCCTTCACTCATATATGCTGTATGCCCAAATAATTTCAATAAGTTTATCCAAGTCATGTCTGAGAAAATGTTCGGACAAAATAATAGGTCTAGCTATAACAATATATCGTCCTGACTTGCGTTCTGGATGACATAATAACAACTTTAACCAATAGTCACTGTGACGTGTCTATTGTGCAATTTTAATTTTGAGCTGAGAACATAATAGGTAAAGTAAGCATTTCGTAAATTTAATGGTCGTTATAATGACCTTGTTAGCAAATACATGTTTAACCTATCACTGCTGACTTTTTGGCTGACTTGTTTCATACCAATTGTTTGGCCTTTGTTTTTATACCGAATTTGACTATGAATTGCTCCTCCTACCTGATCAATACATAGGGATCACGGCGGGTGTGACCGGTCAACAGGGGATGCTTACTTGTCCTACATGTAGGCACCTCATCCCACCTCTGGAATTTCCAGGGGTCCGTGTTGTATGCCTTCTTCACAGAATGGTATTGCTTATAGATTTTTTTAAATCGATCACTGTTCGTTATCTTCACCTTTCTCAATCTAATAGGAAGAAAAACATATAACATTATTAAATTACAATTGCGTATTTGTCTAGTATTAATCAGAAAAACGCAAGAGAATTACCCGTTACCCAAACCTT